ACCCACACTTACATTGTCGCACCGACAGCAACGCCGAGACGGAAGATACACGTTCGACAGCGAGCGCGGAGCGCCTCAGTCTGAGATCTGTCGAGAAGGTGGAGAAAAGGGTCGCGAATGCATCATTGTGAGTACTTAACTCTTACACCCACCAGACTCGTCGAACTGTCGTCCTCACAACGTGTCGTTCAGCTGCAAATGTATTCCACCAAACTATTCGAAGCCATGCAGGTACGAGAACTTGTCATTGAAACGTCGGCGGACATCACCAGGCTCACATCTTCTGGCCAGACACACGGATTCTACTGTGCCCTGCCTATGGACCCCAGTCGGACGCACATTGTGTGCGATAAAATACCACAGTCTTAGGTTGTATCCCTCGTTGGGTGTGTGTACAAGCACCCAAGTGGTAGCTCCGCAATATATTATACTACCAGTTTTAAGCAGTCTCCGCTCACCGAGTGCGCTTTTACGCGGTGGTCTCTGCATCAATGCCAAGCATTCCCAAGTTTGCCTTTTTTCGATGGGTTTCTGCGATCTCCCGACGACCCTGGGCCACCCGCAGTTCTATGGTCGCTAGCTCAAGTTCATGCAATGCTCGCCGAGTCGCCTTTGCCACCTGTGCGTACTCAGCGGTAATATGGGCTCGGTGGGCTTCAATACGAGCTATCTGGAGGAGTGATGACGTGAGCACGACCAACGGTCGGTACGATCAATATCAGAACATACCTCGGCCTCATACGAAGCGGTATAGTTGGGTAAGGGGTCGCGCTTTGGGATTTGAGGCAACGAAGGGGCTTTGGGTGCCGCTGGCAGCTTTTCTGGAACTGTATCTTGGACTGGACCATCTGACTTTGGCGGAAAGTTTGTGTTCAGCTGTTGGCTTGGATGGGGTGGTGCAGAGGGGGTGAGCAAGGGAGGGGTTTTAACATAATTGCGGGGGTGTCGTGGAGGAGAACGCGGAGTGCGGACCAGTCTGGGCGGAGAGGTTGAGCGCGACCGCATCTTTACGTCGCCCTCGGCATCATGTTCGACTACCGCATCTTTTGATTTGCCCTTGTCCGTGTAGACCTCAGATTGGACGGGTTCTGCTACCGCTTCAGGTACAGCGGGAGCCGAATTCTCCGTCTGTAGCTCGTCGGGTGGTTGTACAGGATCTGAACTTACGTCGTTCAGTAACGACGCTTGTGATGGCGGGCTTCTCGCTGGTGGTAACGGAGTCAGCAAGTGATGATCATTTGATTCGACCGGCCTGTCGCTACGCGAATCTAGCTCACTCCTTGGGTCTCGATACGATGCTCGAGAATGGGGTCTGGAATGTTGACCAGTTTCCCGAGGAGGGCTGCGGCTCCGACTACGCTTTCGTTGCACTGGTTCCTCGTCAAACCTTTCTGAACGACGTTCGTAATGCGGGGAGCGAGCTGGAGAGCGAGAATCAGCGGCAAACGAACGATGCGACTCCAATGGGGCACGGCCTCGGGGTGACGATCTTCGAGACATCCCGTCGGCTGTGCTTCGAGAAAGGTTCCTTCGTGGTAAATGGCTTTGAGGAGAAGGTGATCGTCGAGCGGGCCGATTACTTTTGTACCGCTCGGCAGGATAGCTAGAGGAACCTGCACACAGTTTAGGGATGTCCGCAACCAGCAATGCGAAAAGGGCGCGTACCTGAGCGTGGAGGGGATCGTGACGAACTGCGGCCTCTCCGATAGGGGGGCACCGCGTTGTCGTGCCTCGGGGGCTGCCTATGGGTCGCCTTTGATCTATCATAATCCCTTTCTCGCTCGTATTCTGGACCTCGTCCCCGGTCATAGTCCCCACTTCTGACATGTGCTCGTTCGTCGTCGTAACGAGCCCTATCGTGGCCTCTCCGAGAAGGCTCTGACGATCGAGCCTTATCCGCATCATAGCCAGCTCTTGGGACCCACGTCCTCTCCTCCCTGCTCTCCCATTCTCGGTCTCGAGATCGTCTTTCTGGTTCCCAGCTCTGCTCTCGAGGCGGGGGCCATGAATCCTGATACATCCTCTCGTGGTGGTCTCGGCGTTGACCTTCTCGATCCTTGTAAGCTGGTGGAGCTACATACGAGTCCATGGCCCTGTGGGATGGCCCATGTGGGTAATGCGGACGGTCACTGCGCTCCCTTGAATCACGTTCATCGCGACGGTAAGAATCGCGGTAGCGATCTGGAGGCGCCATTGGCGCCGGGCGGCCAACAGGCCGTCTGGTATCTGCAGAATCAGGCCACACGCCTGGTTCATGGCCACCGAAGTCTGGTTTACGGGGAAGACTGCTCATGTTGAATGGAAAGCTCGACAGAAATCAAAGCTGCCTGTCGGACTCACTTACCTTGTTTGTGGTTGTTTTCCATACCACCTGAATGCCGACCTTTGGTGCAACGCTATTCCTTTCAACTGGATCCTTATAATGTCGACTGGATTAGTTCCCTTGGCATCCACCTCTCAGATCGAGCGTACGCCATCCAGAGAAGATGGAATTCCTGAAGACTTGGAAGCCGACCTGAGGGCTTATGGGTGCAAGCTGATACACCAGGCTGGGATTTTGCTCAAGCAGTCAGTTGACCAACCTCACCTGTTTCTAGATTGAACCTCACGTTGTCGGAGAACAGAAAACAGGTAGCAGTTGCTACGGCCCAGATTTTATTTCAGCGGTTCTGGTTTGTCACGTCGATGAAACAATTCGGCATCGGGGTCAGTCGTTCAATGTATACCTTGTACTTCAGTCACCTCAATATACAGTCCTTTGGGTTTCTCAGGATGTAGGTATGGGCGCTCTGTACTTGGCATCAAAACTAGAGGAATGTCCCCTTCGAATGCGCGACTTGATAAACGTCTACGACCTTCTGCTGCAACAAACAACGCATTCACTCACGTCTCAGCTCTCCACTAAGGGCAAGGACGTATTCAAATATGCGCCAATGTCATATTTCGGCAACACCTTTTACGATTTGAAAGATGCGCTCGTGGTGGCGGAAATGCAGATACTGAAGCGCTTGGGTTTCAACGTGCACGTAGTCCTGCCCTACGGAACCCTCATCAATTACCTGCGGGTTCTTGGATTAACCAGTCATAAAGAAGCTTGCGCTCGAGCATGGGGATATCTCAACGATGCGTGGGTATACCCTGTCACCTTCTGTCACGACCGCTAAAGAGATGACTACCAGCCTTCAAACACCTGTTTACACACTGTATGCGGTACCTACTATCGTGAGCGCCGCAATTCTCCTATCCTCCCGACATTTGGGAATTCCGCTCCCCTCTACGCCGCCAAACTGCTGGTGGGACCTTTTCGACGCACCCTGGGAAGACGTCTGGAGTGTTTGCGGGTACATCATGCGGCTATACCGTGAGCGTAGCCCTGAGGATCAGCTCAGGGTGGCAGGAATGGTAAACAAGAAGGATGTCAGGAAATGGTTGGAGGACAATCCAGGTGCATGTATGCCAGGCATGGCGATAACTTGAACGATGAAGACATGTCAAGCCGTGCATTGGATTTCGGTCGGGCGGCGTCTGTGATCTGAATGGGGTAACTGCACCTGTTATGCAGGCGGTAGCACCTCCCGCCTGGAGCTACCCGACAGTGTTGTGGGTACATCTTCTCCTAAACGATAGCATCTAGCTGCCCTTCCCGAGACGGTTCTAGAGGGGGAGGGTGTTTCGGGGCGTACCTCACTGTCTCGCTTTCTGAGCTCTCAAGACCTCATTACATTAGACGCGGGCTGTCAGCTACTCGAACGTGACACAATAAAACTCGAATATGTCACATAGCGAAATCTCGCATCTCTGGAGGATCAAGGCAAGATTCTTTTCTCGGTTGAATATATTGACGTCACCCAGTGGCATAAAGCAAGGTAACGCGAACGTCGATCTATCTAGGATCGAACCCCCGCATGTAGTTCTACCCACGTACCGACCCAAGCGGAACTTAAACTTCGACGATGCACAACTTATAAGGCCGCGTTCGAATGGCACCTTGCGACCACTCCTTTCCTCCCTCCCGGCTCTTGGCAGTTGCTACTGTGTTCCGTGAATCTGGCGAACTCCCATCCAATCGCGCATATATGCGGCACCGCTGGAGTGAAAGCTGTACAGGATATCCGACCGTGACAGCTGTTATACTTATAGGAGTCGAGGCGCGTTGATAGCTACCCATCGTTCAAGCCAGGCCTCAAAACATTCTAATGGGAGGGCGTGGCGTGTACGTTTTCCCTGCCACCAACCTCCTTTCACCTTTGCCACCGCTTCCTCCATGCCTTCGTCGCGATGCACCGCTTCTCTTTTGCCCTAAAGCCGCATATATGCGTAGAAGGCTTCACCCCTCTGCGGTGCATCGAGCCAAGCTCTAAGGCAGCACCTTTACTGTTACTGCCATCCCACCGCACCAATTCATTGGTGTGCGATTTTGGCGAATCTTCGAATGAGGTACCATCGATCAGAGCAACCGCAGGTGCACATAGCATGGTCGTTGGCAATATGATTCCTTCGATCCTGCGCTTTTTGCAGTGCATGCAAACACGTGTTGCATCTCAGGCGGGTCCGCTCAAGAGTCAAGAAGCAGCATAGCGCATAGAGTCGCAACGTATTCTTGGTCAATACCCACAAGCTTGCGAAGACCTCATAACAGTATCACAGCGGACATCGTGTCGGACCTAGCTAGACCCGCCGATGGCCGTATAGCGGAGTGCCGCGCCATAAAATCAGCCCTCAGGGGGAGTGGATGCTTCTCGAGCACTGGGAACGGACGAACACTCGCCAACATAGGTGAATTGGAGCGAAGACTGAGGCCAGCACTGACGAAACCGGGAGGATCCAATGAACAGCAGCAATCCATTGGTTCGGCTTTCCTCTGTCCACAAAATGACTCACTTAAGAGTCGTCTGCCTCACGAATAAAGCATGTGTCCAGTTGCTCGTGCTACGAGGAACTTGCCAAAAATACACAGGTCTGACGCTCTTTGAAGCAGGTCGAGATCAGCCACTCACATGTCTTTGCTAGTATATCGGATAGTACAGCCGCCTGTCAAGCTTACGATCCGCGGCAGAGCTGGGTTCGACTCCCAGGCAGAGAGTTATTTTTTTCCTTCTCTTCAGAATAAACCTCTCATTTGAACGGTCCCAGCTTTTGTGCTCTGTTCTTCCTCCAGGCAGTTTATGAAACTGCCCCATTTCAAACAATCACGACACGGGGGATGTCACGAACATTGGTAATCTCGTGTCAGGTATTTTGGGCCTGGAAATCAAGTCACCGAAAGAGATGCGGCACAGGGCAGATTTACATCTGGGGAGCCAGATATGTGTACGCGGTTGAGGCTTGCAGCCCTCCCCGAAGTCAGCCGGAAACGCGATAGGACCTTGATTCGGGTCCTGCATCCATCAACCGGCCGGTCGGTGAACTGAAGGAAAGTGGGAGAGCGCACCACTGTCCAGTGATGGCGCTTCGAAGCATTCAATGGATCAATGTACGCCTGCTATGACCACAAATATCCTCGGCTTCCGACCTCACAGTGTGGGCCGATCCCAACGAGGATCGATAGCCTTACCCGATGATCACATACCGGATAATCTGACCTGTCACACAATGTCTGGGGAGTTGCTTCACAGATCCCTAGTCCCTCCAGAACATGATCCTAATAAGCGGACACGCACCCGGAACTTGTGTTGTGTTCAAAACTCAAAAAGTCTCTCTGCCTGGGAGTCGAACCCAGCTCTGCCGCGGCCGTTATGACCAACATCCATGACAGGCGGCTGTACTATCCGATATACTAGCAAAGACATGGGAGGGTGGCTGCTAGGCATCCTATGACCAAGGCTAATGAGACCACGTTACTACACCTAAAGACCCGACGAAAGTGTGTTCTTCCCTCCCAGGGTCACCTTTGGGACTATGGTAGTCTAAAGTTTTCCTCAGCTTGTTTATCGTTGAAGATCTCACTCTGCAAGGGCGTCAACTCTATGTTTCTCGCAATATTTTCCAATGCCCAGACGAGTATGGTTGATACCTCTATAGGTCTGACGAGGACCTTGCATCGACCTGAAGCCCGCCTCGTACTTGGGCTTTAAAGCTGACAACTTCACTCAGGCATACAGCTACCCGGACCAATGATCGCATTTAAAAGGGCAGCGCCAGCCGCTGACAGACTCAATGCCTGGAATTGCGTGTATGGCATACGTGCGGATTACACATCTCCAGATGGAAATACGAAGAATAGTTCAATCGCTGAGAATCGCCTGCACTACATTAGCTACTCTCAGCTGCCGCAAGTCGGTGTACGTCTAGCAGTCAACGTCTGGTCAGCGGAAGACAAAATAGCGGACTTGATGGTTACACACCTGCCCACACCCAACGAATATGATAGGCTGTCCAGTGACATACGTCATTGAAAGTGCTGCGCCGACCTACAATATGATTCCAAAACCGTCAACAAATGCATTGTTACGAAGATGGCAATAGCTCACTTTATCGTCGACGGTGTCCCATTTTGTTACGATCATGCCGTCAATGCCACGACCTTTGCCAGCACCCGACGCCGACGAGAAGTCACGCAATGCGCGGTCAAACTTTGTCAGCTGATCCACAGCTTCATTTCCGACTAGTGCTTCGCCAACGAAGAGGATTTTGTCGGGGTTGTTGACTGCGACAAGCTGTGTAGGAGTGTTACTTGGGGGGGGCACAAGTAAAAAACGAACAAGCAAGCATACTTTAGCTAGAGCGCGCATGAGGGGCTGGAAGAGTATCAGTGAGGCTGCCAGCTTATCCTAGACATTCATCTCACTTCGTTATCTTGCATACGTCCTGCCGTATCAATCAGCACGACATCAAAGTCATTTTCCTTCGCTGAAGGATAGTGTGTGAGCCAAAGTTAGAAAATACACCAATAGAAATGCCATCACCATAGGTAATAGCCTCCTTTGCTATTCCCGCAGCATCTTTGCCATACCCCTTCTCAAATAACTCGACACGGCCCTTGCTGTCCGTAGCACCGTTGACACCGAGCATGCTCAGATTTCGAACGTGCACACGAAGCTGCTCAACTGCGCCACTCCTTCAAATCAAAATCAGTCCTCTTCTCATGAATGACCAGAAGCGTGAAATCAGGCACTGACCGGAAAGTGTCACAAGCGGCAATGAGAACCCGCATGCCATTCTGAATTAACCAGAAGCATACTTTAGACAAGTTTGTGCTCTTCCCCACGCCGTTGACACCAACGAAGGTGATGCTGTAGGGGATCCTTTGCTGGGTGGAGGGCAGGGGGGAGGATAATTTGGTCCTGATAGATAGCAACAGATCGGTGGATGTCTTGGGTGTCAATATTCTCGTCAGAGACGACGACAATGCAATCCGCACGGCGTTGCTCGTGGCTGAATCATCATCAGCCTCTGTGATTCCGGACAGAGAAGAAAGCACCAACTCTGGAAACCTCCTACTTTCTTCCCCTCAAGGCTTTCTCCAACCCCCTCACAGACCTTGTCTGCGATCTCCCTCGCGACGTTCTTCTTCATCAGGTGTTGCTTCATGCCTTCCAACACTGGCTTCAGGTCTTCTTGTGTCAACACTTTCGACCCAGTCAATCGAGCGAAGAGAGAGCCTAGTGCGCCAAGAGATCCTGACGTCTGCTTCGTCGTGGTACCGTCCGACTTGAGTGCACGAGCGATGACATCGTCTTCACCCTCCTTGGTTCCAAACTCCCAATCCTTCACTTCGTACATCCCGTCCCTGGTTCTCGTGCCTAGGGATGCTTCATCGACCAGAGCCTGCAGGTCATGCGATAAATGCCCGTCCGTGCCAGAAGGCTTATCGACGCTGAAATCCAAGGAGGCCATATCCATCTCAGAAGGGGCTTCGTCACCCCATTTGCGTTGCGCTTTTGATTTGGTTTTACGTTTGTTCGATTCGGAGCTGTAAGAGCATCGTCGTGAACGTGCAATTAACAAGTTATGGAAGTGCAACGTACTCAGAGGCGGGATGACTGTCTCTCCCACTTCCCGATTCCACACGCGCGATCCCCCGTCCTCCCCGCCTACCCCCGCGGCCACGCAGTCGATTCTTGAGAGCTTGGACATTTCGCGCTATCTGCTGCTCGTCTTGAGGTACTACGGAAGATTCCGAAGGGACTAGCAAACATAAGTACCTTGCCCAAGCCCTAGTTCATAAGAAGCTTACTGGTGCTGAGGTCATCCGAAGGGGGGCTGGGATCAGCAGAGACAGCGTGCACTGTGGATCTAAACCTCGACTTCCTTTCCTGAGTATATGCGTATTAGAAATGCGCATATATGCGGAGATGACGCCCGACCTGAGCGGCTTTATCTTCGAAGCCCTTGAGAAGTTTGTCGAAGACTTTGTCCCATCCTTCAAATGCTTTGACGAAGTTCCAAGACGTGGTCGTGTCCCCCGCAACAGATGACGCCGACTTGGTGCTGTTCAATGCATGTAATGATGCGACAAAGGTTGCCAAGAAGGGTTCAAATAGCTTGATGAATAGGGCCTTGAGTGCGGCGAGGAGATCGTCTACGTATGTTAGTTGGAGAATCCTTTGGTAGGCGACCTGCAGTCCGTTTCGACCATGTATACGCGGTGTCAAATGGATGGCTGCGCACCACGAAAATGAGCTCGAGATCATTCACAAAGGTCCACTTGACCGCATAGCCATCTTTTTCGTACTTCTCTTCTGCTGTCCGCCCTTCGATTAGCGCTTCGCGGATGAGAGAATTGACCGGAGAAGCTGAGGAGGATGCGATATGTGAGGCTTCCGGAGTGAATGACCGGGACCAAAGGACAACGCCGCCTCGAAGACAATTTTTAGAGTAGAAGTCAGTGACTGTCCGCGAGACCGCATACCTTTATGAGAAATAGAGCAGTGGTCTAACATAGTTGTGAAAGATGAGCTTCAAGATGGAGATGCAGTGGCAATTGTATGGAGGGGTTGAGGGGGGTTACGGGACAATGCCTCTGCTCGCACAATGCCGGATCCGAGATCTACTTTCACAAAGATCAGGAGCGAAACATTGCAAAGCTAGGCACAGCTTCATGGATGTTCGCCGGGTCATCATCATTGGATACTGCGCAAATGACGGTTGGCGGTAATCAAAGTGATCATAGAATGTCCACAATAAGTCGGGCCCATACAGTAGGCCGGTTACTAGTATCATTGCGCCAGACAGGCCGCGGACAAAGGGATGCAGTGGTCACCCCAAAATCACTGATGTTTCGTGACAAGCATAGGTCAAGGCGTATTCACATGATCAAACGCGTACGCTACCCCGTGCATCGGAAGTGATGATGCGCGTGGAAATCGCCTCGAAAGTATGTATGGGAGCGCCAATGGAGATATGTTCTGCATATTTCCTAACTATAAGACAGATGGACAGAAAGGTGAGAACCCCGGAGACCATCAAAAAGAAGAGTGAGTGTCATGAATATTGCAGGAGCAAATATCACTGTATCAACACCCAGCCTCCAACTGAATAAACAACTGTTCATGTCCCAGAGAAGTCATCGCTCTGACTTATCGGCCGGAAGGTCGAACGAGAAGGTGCTTCTGTGCTCCGCCGCACTGATCTCCGCTGCGGTAATAAGGCCATTCCCTGCGGATTCGCCATCTGCCAAAGGACAGGGTACGAGTTCTGCAAGAAAGGCTGGTAGGGCGATTCTTGGAGAGGGTGCTCCTCTGCATTTGATAGCGCGGACCGCGAAGCGGGCCTGACCCCCACTTCATGACCTCCCATCTCACTGGACCACATTTCATTCGAGCTCCCGATGGAGGTGGAATGCAGAGGCGGATGAACGTATGAGCCATACACTTCGGCGTCAGGATAATGCGACGGGTAACCCGACTTGTCCATGCTGGGCCGTGATAGCCGGACCGCAGACGGTGAAAACTCCTCTGGGAACTTCATGTCTGCCATCACAGGCCCCGTGTAATACGAGTCCTGCATGAATGGGAGTGGAACAGCCTGGGGATTGTGCGATTGGGTGCTCGATTCTAGCGCAGAAGCTGTAAATTGGGCATTGGAATCCGTGCGGAATATAGGCGTAGTTGTGTGGTTAGCGACGTTCATGAATTCAGAAGATGGTGCAGTTCGCTTCCGAGCGCGAGAGCGGCGGAAAAGGATAAGGCCGACAGCTACGCAAGCGAAGAAGACTACCCCTCCTACAACACCACCCGCAATAGCGCCTGCTCTCGACTTTGACGTGGTGTCTGCTGCGTATGCTGTAGAGGGTGAAGTAGGCGCGGACGGAGCCGATGCTGAGGATGTCGCGGGGGAAGCTGAGGCTGAAGATGTCGCGGGGGAAGCTGAGGCTGAAGATGTCGCGGGGGAAGCTGAGGCTGAAGATGTCGCGGAGGAAGCCGAGAAGGCTGATGAACTCCCGCTGGATGTAGTTAAAGTCGATGGGCTAATAGACGGCGGGATAGAGACAGATGATGCTGTGGGTCTTGATTGAGTGGAAGGGGGTAAAGAGGATGCCGACGAACTCGTCGGGAAGGGACCATGGGCCGATATCGTCCATCCACCTGTCTTGATTGCGAGCAGGGTCAGCTGTCAGCTTTCAGAAGGCAAGAGGGCGGCGCTTTAACGCACTGGGAGGGACCATTGAAGGGAGGTGTAATTTCGGCCAAACATGGAGTGCTCAGTCGCACCTCAAGTGCATGAGATAGAGGAAAGAGGACGGGCCCGAGCAACGAGAAAAGACCAGCTTAAAGGGAGCCCTCGGGGGGAGAAAGAATTGACTGTGAGAGCAAGATCAGTCACATCTGAAGCTGTGAATCAAGAT